TAGAAAAGGAGGGGTGTGCACAATAATAAATCAGAGTTGCTGTACTTAAATAAATAAGGATCTGAAAACAGACTTAAGGAAAATCTGGAAGCAAAAGTCCTGCGTAGGACAAGTATCGATAACACAACTGGGAAACAGATTAATGGGGCTCACTTACTAGCTGGTTACTAAATCTAGGATGGTTAAGGTGGCTTTTCTTGGTTCTTGGCATGCATCGTATCCGTACTATTGGTGAGCCTTACCTGTGCGTAATGAGGTGTTCGACGTGCCTGTGCCACAATACTATAAGACATGAGTTAAGGCCAAAGGTGGAAAGCTTATTTCACACAATAAGAAAGAATAATCTAGCAGGTGGAAATCCTGCTAGATAAAGAAAAGGGGGGAATTGGAAAGTGAGACGGGCCCCATAGGTGAAAGTAAAAAGGCAAGAAGTCTTCACAGTGACTGAGAATAAGGGGGGTGAAGGGGAATAGTTAGAAATAGTTCACAGAAGCAGGAATGTAGAGCTTGTTAGAAAATAAGGGATGGCAGACACTGTGTCTGGGATAGTGAGGGGATGAAGGCCATAAAGATAAGGGTTTGAGAACAGCCCAAGGACATTTGGCAGGGAGGTGATTAAATGTCCACAGGGCAAGAAGAAACCGGTTTGGGGGAATGCCCCCCCAAAGGCCAGGAGTTCACAGTGAAAATGGTCAGAAGCCTTCCCAAGGAAAATGACAAATCCTCATCCCTTGACCCACTACACACACGCAAGAGGGGAAGGGTCTCCATGCTAACAAACTCTCAGGGGTGTAGTGAATATGTATCCAAATTCCAGGAAAACTATTGATTATGTATTAGTTTCACCTATATAAGTAGCAAGACATATACGTAGCAAGAATTTTCTAGACAGTGTGTAAGTTAAGCGGATCTATCCCCCTTGCACCTAGGTGTCTGTGCAGCACTGAATAAACCGTACCTGCTTTGTAATCTTACTTGGGTTACAGAGTTTGATCCCTTATCACACCATGAATTGTGCTATGGCCAATTCTTTTGCTTCCGATGGCTCAAGCATTGTGGCCCGAGACACCTGGGGCAGCTTTTTTTTTTTCCCCTATTAGGAACAATGAAATCTTCTAGGTTCCATGTCACTGTTGATATTCTTTCTATAACCCTCACCCTTGATTTCTCAGGGAAGTTCTGGAATTTTTGATCGTCCTTTAGTTGTCTCCAGAGCTGGAGAAGGACATGGTTGGGCTGGCGGTTGATCTTAGCAAAGTGGACCCCAGCCCGAATTAAATCATTAAACATTTGTTTTCAGGAGACCCTTATGGGTCCCAATCGAGGAGCTCGAGTAGCTGGCATTTTGGTTTTACATATCAGCAGGACCTCGGCATCTTCTAGTGTTCGAATACTGTGCCTAGCCCGCAGGCGTTCCATTTCTCCTAGGCCACTAACTGGGCAGCCTGCTGGACTACTGCTTCTGAGGCCACCAGGGAATTTATTAGAGACACCAAAGTACCATACAAATGAGAGGGAACTTGCTGTAGAATCAAGGCTCCCAACCCTGCTGAAAATTTGACCATATCAAGGCCATCAAATTTGTCTTCATAAATTGCTTCCCTTATGCCTAGCTCATGGATATAATTTTGAAGGTCCTCCATGGAGGACCACAGCCCTGTATGAAGAGGGCTATCAGATTTATTTGGCCATACCATATGGCAGGCCACCATTAACCATTCTATTATAGAATGGTTTTCATCACAATATCGATTACCCGCATACAACCTCTGCCTGAGAGCAGGATGGACAGTCATGGTGGCCAACTTGGCTATTTCCAGGCTATTCACCAAAACACTTTCTGCCCCAGAATCCCACAGTCTTAATAACCAAGCCGGCACACTTTCTCCAGGCTTCTGCTGAAATCGCTATACTAAATTCATCAATTCTGTTGCTGTGTAAGGCCAGGCTGTTACGTGCAAATGAGTCTGGGCAGGGGGCCACTGATCAGGCGGCACCCCTGCCAGTCTGTCCTGTACTTTTTTTTTGGTTTGTTTTCTGAGTTATGACAGGACAGACTTCTAATGGATCTGTCAAAGTCAGATATTCAAGATCTAATTTGGATTTTTTATTTCCCTGATCAATGGAGCCTGTTGATTCAGGAGTCTGGTCATTGTTTATTGCAATGTTACAAACTTGGCCTACTGGAAGATGCAGAATTGGTTTCTTCCCTGTTAAGATGCCAAGTTCCTGCTCTAATTTTTTAATACAGTCCTTCAGAAGTTGATTTTCATTCCTCTAAAGTATTATTTCTTATTTCAGCATGATTTAAGGCATTTAATAGTGGCCATGCCACTGTGGAGGCAGCCAGTTGTCTTTCTTCAGTGATCAGTACATCTATGCTAAGTCCTTGAAAGTAATCTGCCATGCCATATGGGGAGATATTACCCATAACGGGTAAGGGGACCCCTTTTTTCAACAATAACCGCTAGCTCATAACAGGGAGATCCCACAAATCCTGGGATCTGCCCTGGAATAATTTCCTCTAGAGGAGTATTGTTCTCCCGCTTGACCCATCTATAGAAAATCCAAAGAAAAGAAGTGATATAAATTTTAGTATATTTGGCCTGCCTGGCTTGCTAAGTGTACCATCAAAGAATATTAGGATGTTATAATTACAAATTAAATAGAAGAGTTAGGCAAAGCAGACTATGATACCAAAAGGGAATAAATAGAAGGCTTACCCCTATCCTAGGCTCACTCACAAAACAGCAGCAGAGGCAAACTCCAGAAGAGATCCTTCTCCTCTGGCAGCCAGCTCTTAAATAGGTCTAGGAGAGGTGGAGCATGGCTCCACCCCTTCTGTCAGCACAGGTGAATTGCCTTCACCTGTGCTCCTCTGGCTGACTCATGGCTCGCCTCAGGTGATCAATCAGAGGTTCAGGCCTTGACTCAGCAGTTCTCATACATCTTCCTATTACAATACCCAATAGATAACTCAAAACTGAAACCTTGTAAATGCCACGTAAAGAGAAAAAAATAATACTTCTTAGCATACTTTCAGATTATAAATCTCACTACGATATTTACCTTTTTCCACACATTTCAAGAATTGCAAAGTTGTGCAAAATGAATCACTTGTAGAGGTCTAAAAAAATCAGTTACAAAAGGCACAGATAAATTTCCCATTTTCTTTCATAACTGTGCACAGGTACAGTCTGTATTGTGACAGAGCTGTCTTCAATATGCTTTTATTGTTCAGTACTTATCATGCAAAATTGAGTATTCAATGTGAAAAGGTATTTAACTAAATTAGTGTTACTGTTGGAAAGCATGCAGTTAGGGAGCATTTATCTTCCCTCCTGCCTTTTTATCAGCACTGAAAGACAGGAAAGCATTTCTTCTACATAGTTCAGTGTGCTGTATCCAGTATCAATCAGCATAGGCCATTAAAGAACCACTGTCATTAAACTACAGCAGTACCTTCAAGTTCCTCAAATTAAATCAAATAAGCGAGAAGCTACTACAATGTAACCCATATGGTCTGTTGAAATCCACTTGCCAACAGAGATCACAGAATTACAAGGGTTGAAAGGGACCTCAAGTGATCATCGAGTCCAGCCCCCACTCCTACAACTTTAACAGCTCACTTCCTCCTCATTTATCTTGAGATGTTTCGTAGAGATAAACTACTTCCAGGCCATTAAATTCAGCTATAACAACACCAAGTGTTGCAGTTGGAAAAAACATCATAGAGAAAAGGAAAGAAACAGAGAAGGAATACTCACCCGCATTTGAAGATTCAGGCTCCCGATGAAGGACTCCACAAAAAAGAGATCTCCAGAAAGAGATCTTCCTCCAGTGGTAGTCAGCCCATAAGTGGGGGGGGTTGGGTCTGAGAGAGGTAGATCCAGGCTCCATCCCTTCTGTTCATACAGATGAATTGTCTTCACCTGTGCTCCCGTGGCTGACCCAGTCCTTGCCTCAGGTGATCAATCAGTGGTTCAGGCTTTGTCTCAACAGTTCCCATACACCAAGAAACACTAGTCAGAATGCAGATTCTATGGTGTGAGAATCCTTCTTTGTTTTTTGGCTTAAAGCATTCTTCCTGATGTATTTCTTCTGATAAGACTCTGATTTACTGAGGAGGCAAGTGATGGGTGCTATCATGTGACAATCAACATCACTTTGTAGACATTTGAAAGCACCTTCCTCCAGAGCTCCTTGCCTCCGGAAGAGTGCTCAGGAGCGTTTACTGATGGAAGATCTGGCCTGTGACTAAATAGCTCTAACTTGGTGTGGGAAAATTGGGGAATGATACTATTGTGTCCTGTGAAAAAATGAATGCAGGTGGGCATCCCTGCTCCCTCTTATCTGCTGGCAAGGCCTGGAAGATGGGAACAAAGGAGTTTCTGCTGAGATCCCAGAGCCAGAAGCTGCTACTCCAAGGAGAGTTGACTCAACCACTTTGGATTTGAGCTGTCGCTCCAAAGAGAGCTTACTTGACCACTTTGGACTTATAAATAAGTTGGAAAAGTGGCCATCATCGCTGTGGTCACCGTCGTTGTCAACAGAACAACAATGCCCAATGACCCACCACTACTGAAGATCAATGACTGAACTACGAACCTCGCTGGATCCACGGTGGTGACTATGTCCCTCTTGCTTCCTATAAAGACTCCTTGCTTCTTCTGTTCTATCTTTTCTATTGCCCTTTTTCTTTTCCCCATTACCCTAATTCGTAATAGTGTCCGTCCTCCCCTTCCCCATCTCCCTGATTAAGATTTATAATAAACTGTTCAGACCAACATGTGAACCATTGTTTCTTAATCTCACGCCAGGTATATAGATAATAAAAGAACCTCCTCTCCCTCCTATAAATTGGAGCGAGACATATGGTTAAGTATGTATTTTTATGCTTATCGTTATCAGGATGGATAGTACTCTAAATGCTCTACAGAAAGATACAGTTTATTCAAAAGGCATAATCTCTCCACTTGAGAAAAATCTGTAAGACTTACCTACACATCAACACTGGCCAACTGGAAGTCATTATGGACTCTGAGAAAGGCAACCAAGGAAAATTTGTCAAGAAACAGACAAGAATACTGGAATACACACTGACACTTGATTTGATTCATTCAAATAATTATAGCCCAGTTTTGAAAATTGTTTACATGGTCCACTTAATCGTTATGCTCCTTTGTCTAACTTATGAACTCCTTTTAATTACACCAAGTTCTGCAGAGCTGAACTCACCATTTGACTTTTAGAAAATATGACTATACCATTGAAATTAATGAACTCACCTTCCTTAATTAACTCAAAATTCCTTTACTTACTGGAAAATACATAGAAGAGTATCACGGTAAATACTCATTGTCAAAATTTCACTACTTTTGTAAAGCATATGGTTATAAACTGTATTTATTAGACATGAAATTGTTTCATAATGTTGGTAATCCTGGTATTATTACTTAATTACATAATTTAACAATCCATCCATTTGAAAACAAATTTTTGATCCTCATCCATTTAAAACTGGTAAATGGGATAAAATGAATGCAGTCAGTACAGCTCAACTCTCTTCCGGCATCACCAGAAGCTAACTCATAGCATTCAGTATACAACACGTCAGCTGCTACCTTGTTATACCAAAGCATTATGATTATCATATTTATCCATAGTGCTGGAGATTGTGACTTTAGCCTACCCTCTGCCCAGAGGATTTCAAAGTCCTGTGAGAGGGACACAATTACAAAAGCAGCTATCTAATAACTATAATATGTCACTGGTGCCATGAGAGACAGTCAATATGATTGTGGTGTAGGCACAATTGGATTTTTCAAATCTTCTGGATCTGTATTAACAACAAAACCAAAATACTGTAGGAAATTCTAAGAATATATGAAAAGAGAACTTTGTGAACACAATAAACCTCCTGTAAACAAGAATTCCGACCTCACAAAATACACAGAGCTGGCCAAGACGATCACTTACCTTACATGACCAAGAGTATTACAGAATCACAGAATTGCAGGGGTTGGAAGGGACCTCAAATGATTGAATTAAGGAAAATAAGTTAGGTTAAAAGTTAAGTGCCTTCATTTGGTGCTGAATCGGCAGCTACAGATCTGGCCTTGCTAAGTCAGGTTCTCGCTGCCAATAACAGATGCTTTTCTACAGACTTAGTACAGACAGCAGGTTGTGGGAATACTAGAAAAACTGTTCAGAGCAGAATCTTTTGGACAAAATTGGAGCAAAACTCCAGGAAGCTTCTATTACTAAAGACAGAACAGCTGCTAAACTTTTAGCTGTTTGGCACCAAATAATGGAAGGACTTAAACAAATTAGACAAGGAAGTATTTATTTCGACTATTCCCCATTGCCCTCCCTCCCAACCCTGTCACCACACCAAAGTGGAGGGAAGGAACGGGGGAAAAGAACAGCGGCAACAATCTATGGAGGAAAACTTATTTTACTACAATATTGGAATACAAAATAACACAATATATACGATTTAATTGAAATTGAGATTAATAAATCAGACAAGATGAGAGAGAGAGAGTTCCCGGGACCGATTCAAACCTGAAAAGCTTGGAACGGCTAGGAAAGCACCCTCCAGCACCCACTGCCAGGCAGCAAGAGAGCGCCCCCCCCACCCGGAAGGGCCAGATCCCGTGACTGCTGTAATGTACAGGGATAGGTACCTGGGATTGGGGCAGTGACACTTCAATGCCCCGTACACTACATGATGTTTTGATGTGGAATACTGAAATCCAAAAAACAAAAAAAACAAAAAACAAAAACATAGAACCATGACACTCATTCTCCCACTGGACAAGCTATCATTGACCATACTCATCTAACATTGAAATCTATTCTTAATAAAAAAAAAGGGGAAATACGGGAGACAACACAAGGAAGATCATGTAAGGTTTTGCTTGTGCTGAATTTTGAATCGTGATCATACAGATACAACTCGTGTGGATCGTCATTTTGGGGCCTCCCCAATGCTCAAGGAACGGCCAGTGGTCAATGTTCAGAATATAGCCACAGGGCATTGGGAAGGTCCCTTACCACTGATAACTTGGGGTCGTGGATATGCTTGTGTTTCCACAGGGACTGGCCCTACATGGGTTCCAGCAGGATATGTCTGGCCTCATCTCAAGGCAGAAAATAGCATCCAGCCTTTATAATGACTGGGAGTGTGTGCTTCTTATTTATTGGTATTGCTTTGTAACTTGTTGTATTGCAAATAGCAGCAATAGTAGTGCACTTGAGGCAAAGGTGCACGCTAAGAGAGCTAACCTTGATAGTTCTGTTTTGCAAGCAGGTGTTCCACTTGGGCTCTGTATAATACACTGGCCATACAGATGCAGTGTACAAATGGAAAATACCCTTCGGACCCTGAGAAGAATAAAACAAGAGAGAATCTGTGATGGGTGAGAGAGGAAAAGTGCACCTTGAAGCAGGGGACGCCCTGCTGGCACTGCCTATCGCATTCACTGCCAACATGTTCTTTCTCTCTCTTTTTCTGCAGGTTGTTGTTTCTTGAGGGTCAGTAAGTAATAATGCCCCTAGTGATATTCTAGCCCACTAATTTTAGCACACATTTGCCCACTAATATTTATTCTATTTGACATGCAAAAAGTTGTACAGCCGTTAATTTTCTATTAGCCCAGAGGCATGATCATGAGCACTCTAAAAGCATCTGTTGTACAAATTTTAGTGATCATTCAAAATCAATATATCAGAATATATGAAAGTTGAAGACCTCTTTCTAACCAGTTAGAGATGAACACAGAACGGAACCTTCAGGGATTTATTTCCAGGTTGCAGAAAACTTGAGTTGCAGACTAAACACCTATTTGTTCTTTTTAGTAGGTTAACAGTATTTCTTGTCATTATGATGTTTGTCTTTATCACATTTAGAGTATTGTCAATCGAGGCCTTGATTGAGTTATAATGATTATGTTATTAATATAATTTGTGTTATTATTTTATAGTATGGTAGTAGTTTGCAAATAAACAAAAAAGGGGGAATTGTGGGAATACAAGAAAAACTGTTCAGAGCAGAAGCTGTGGAGCAAGATAAACAGCATGAGAATCAAGGACACCTCTAGAAGAAGAGAGAATGTCTCACGGCTCTGGATAAGTGCCTGTGTGAACAGTTGAAGAGTGTTTTGTAGAATGCTCTGTTGACATGTAAAGGTGGATGGGAAAGCTAGAAAAAGAAAACTTGTGAAGGTATATAAATGATGTGAGAACTTGTAATAAACGATTTGGATCATTCACATCTGAGTCCATGCATCAGATGCTGCAGCGGGTCTCCTGTTTCTCCAAATAACGTTGTTAGCTATCCTATCTCTGGAATGCAAGGTAACAGGCTCGGACAGTAAAACCACAAATTAACGAAGAAGTGGCAGATTGGTGGACAGAGTTGTAGCCGATAAGATGATCAGCCAGAGCTAGTCAAGCATCTTCCAACTTGACCCAGGTCAAAGAGTACACAGCGAGAAAGACATACGGCCTTCATCAAAAGACCACCAGACAACCACCGAGCGATACCACACATGCGTAAAAGAACTGAGACTCAGGACAGAACTTCAAGACAGAAGGTTGCCCACAGTCTAGCAAAGCAGACAAGAACAGAAAACTATCAAGAACTACCAGTCTCACTTTTATCCCTTGTTTCCATGTGGATGCATAACTTATTGTAAATGAAGCACAAATTAAGAAAACATACTGAATGCACCATAATGAACATAATCTGAAAGACTAATGTCTAAAATGTCCTTTTATCTGCTCCAGCTATATTTTATTTGCTATGCAAATAATCAGAACTGTAGTAACATAACACATACACAGGAACAATGCCAAGCTGAAGTTGCTATCTGGACTGGTTAAAAAAAAGACAGTGGTATTTAAGTAACAGTTCACTTTGAGTGAATTACAACTGTAATGCTCTACTTACAAGTTCCTGGACAGAGATTGCTGGATTGCAAAGTGTTAACATCTTTAGGAATATTTATTTCTTTGGTTATTTACAAACAGTAAGAAGAATCGCATACACATAATATTAACATTACAAAGAAATTTCTTATAAGAATTAAATAAAAAAGGTTCTTGAGCTCAAAGCATATCAAAACCACACAAACAAAGCCTTAACTGACAGTTTTTCATGATTCTGTATACTGCTATGCACTCTCACTATGCATCCGTCCATGGATAGCTTCTTTGCAGTTATTATACACACTCAAAAAGAACTATAAAGAATCCCTCATCTAAAACTTCCTCCAATTACATATGCTGCAATTTCATTAACATTTAGCAATAGCAAGTAAAGGCAACTCTATTTATCCATGTATGTTTAAGAGCAGAAGTATGTAAGAGCAAGGAGACACATTTGTTCTTTACTAAGAAACTTAATTAAGTCTAACTCCAAAATGGGAAAGTATCCCAGAAGAATTCAGAGGTCTTCAGCTTTAAGCTAAGATCTTAAATCTATCCGTAGAAAGCACACTGAATAAAACTGCAGCTATCTCTCAGGTGCACGCAGACAAACTCCCATACTCTCACAGAGCACAAGAATGTAATGGCTTCTTCCACACTCATTATTCTAGAATATCAGTGTAAGACTCAGTATATAAACTAGTTTCCATCACAATTCCAAGGAATCCAAAGCCACATTCCTCCCTGTTTTCCCCAAACACATTTCAATAACCCTTTCTCTTAAAGATAAAACTCTGCCTTTTACCCAAGATTGAAACCAACCGGGGCTTTGGTTGCTACACAAGCTATTGGCCTGTTCCTCCTCTGGGCCAACATGAAGCCTGTAAATAGTTCAGAACAGGACATGAGGCAAGTTCCTCATTTCCTAGGGAACTGATTTTCCAGGAATTGGAATTTCTTTGAGAACTGCTTTCTTTGAGAAATGTTGACAGCAAAACCTAGTGTCTCCAAGAGATATACAAACCTGTAAAAAAAAAATCCATCAGAGGGTTGCCATTAAAATTATCAGTTTTATTGATAATGATTTCCAAGTGCACTTAACAATG